TATTATTATTATCATCATCATCATCATCATTATTCATGGATTCAGGGCCCCTTTCACTACCGTTAGCACGTTAGCTTTGTTTTTCCTACTATACGCACGAACGATACAGTTTATCAATTGTCACTAAGGGCTGTTATCCATACAACACCACCTGGAACGCTTTGAAGCACATGCCTGGAGAATGCCAGCACCCACAATTCCCATCGGTACTGGTGACTGAAGTGCGCTTGGTGCAAGTGCAAGCGACTCTGTTAACCGTCTACGGCGCTACGCTCGTACGAGGACGTGGACAACTGCCAATGTCCTCCTTTTCCGTCTTGTTCTATTTCGTTCAACTGTTCAATTATCATGTGTGAGATTGTCTTGTGGTTTTCTGGTAAACTACGATTAAACAATTTACCAAAACATGCTGGTCGCACCCTTTAATGAAGAGAGGCGTCAAATAATTCGCACTAAAACAAATTCTTATTTTTAAAAGATCATTTTAAAAAGCCGCCATTCGATACTCTAATATAAAACCATGTGCGCTTAATGGCTTTCTGCAGAATTCCTATATATGTATGTATGCATTTCAGTCATCTGTTTTGTAATTTTGCTCACACTATTTTTCTTTCAGGCGACGGAGGGCACCAGAGCAGAGGGCGACTGAAAAAGCACGCCATGTTAGACGAAAAGATAAAAAAGTTCCTGGCGGTGAGCACTGAAAGCTGTTCTTGTCTTCGCTCCCCTTCCTCTTCCTTTTGCCTATGTCTTTGTACAGGAGTGGCATTCGCATGGCATGATGAGTGGACGCTGTACTTAGAAACATGTATACGCCTGAAAAATAATTTCTATCGCCATTAATTGGTCATATTGCTTTCATGTATTGTGAAATAAGTAAGGAAGTTACAATAAATAAACTGCCCTCAAATTTCGTTAACCCACATTTCGGCGTATCTGTGTTTCTTGGCTGTACACCGGGCACAATTTGCTGTTGATTTTATTTTTCACAGTTGTTTTCCTCAGTTCAGCTACAATGTCTTCTATCTTTGCATCTGTTGATTCATTTCTTCTCCTTCTTGCTGTGTGACTGTACACTCTATCTTGTTCTTTATTGTGAATACTTCGCTCTTTCTTCGACCTGGATTTTGTGACTGTGTATTGCTTCCTTTCTTTTTAAACTTCTTACTTTTCCTCCTGCTCTTCTTTTCCTGCTTCTGCCCCTTTTGAAGAGGAGTAACTTGGTCCCGGCTTTCCCCGCCCAATACCCCCTTAGTGTTGTCCCTGTCGTGAACTATCACCCTATAGGAAGGCAAGACGCGTTGGACTTGCAAAGGATCTTTGGAGAGGCATTGAGAAGCTGGATTTATGTCTTTTATTTGGAGCACCAGCATCGGGCAACTCATCTGTACTCTTAACCTCTTACCATTTCAGCACTCCGTTTGCCATAAACTAACCACTTGTGTGTGCGTGATGCTGGGCCTTGGGGTGCAAGAGAATCGGAAAGGAAAAAAGCGGAGAGCCAGCGAGGCGTGAGTGAGCTAGAGAGTTGTCTAACTGACGATCTGGTCCCCCGGCCGGGCCCTGTGTTTGTAGGCCCGCTTACCCTCAGCAACCACCACAACAGCTGTGGTCCCGGGGGCCCTCGCGGGGGTTCCGTAGGCGGGTCCCAGGCGGGAGCGGGGCCCCTCAGGGGCCACGCCTCAGACGCTCGCCGCTTCACAGAGCGCAGAAAGAAAACGGTCCGCTTCGACGGCCGACACGACTCGGGCATAGACACCAGTTCAACGTTCACCTCGAGCGAGGACTCGAACCCGGGAGGAGGAGGTTCCAAGGTACACACATGAGCCATAGCCATACGCAGCCAAGGCGTAGCCCAGCCTAGGCGTGCGCGGGTGCCGGCCCGGCCACGGGGGAGTCGGCCCTAAGCCGCGCCAGAGGGAGACAGTGACATGCATATCCGCCGTATCCGGCGTTAAATCTTTCTCTCTCTCTCTCTCTCTTGATTGGTCATAGAGAATGCATGATTCGGATTCACATTTATGAGCGTGATTATTGTTATTTTTTTTTTTAAATGACGTCTTTTAGGGCATGTAATAGTTTCTGATGAACCCGTGGCCAACCGTCTCTGTACACCAGTATACACAGCTGTTTAACGAGGCGCACTTTAAGGGACACAGGGCATCGCCACGCATACACAGCAAAACACGCACGGGCATATTAGAAAGCATAAGCCCTTGCGTCTGACACATATACAAGAGCTTGTTCAAAAGTAACATAAAATGTCATATCAAACCGTGTGCTGAGTATTGTTCTTTTAGGTGACAGCAACGCTTCATTGCCCTAGACCGACGCCAGTATTAAGTCGGGCTTCTCTAGTTCAGTTTTAGGGATTTATTCTTAGGGAGTTAAATAAAATGTTGTATGTACACCGTTGTACCAAACAAGTTGTAAATGCCCTCATTACGGAAAGTATTTTTCAATTTTTCCTTGCGTTTATCAGTTTTCCCTATTATCCTACGCTTCAAAAACTATAGTTCTTGATAGAGTACCCGATGATTTCCAAAACGCCAATTTTCTCAACTTTTTACTCCATTTTCTTACTTTGTGCTGATCTCTTAAGTTTCTCTTTGTGCCCTTTTCTATTAGCTGTACTTTGGTGTCCCCATCCTGACTCTGGGGAACTGCTTTCTATCTGCATGGCTATAGAATACAATCTTGGGTTTTATGCCTTTTAGGTGCATTGCTTGTTTATTTAAAATTTGCGGTTCACAATTATCTGATTGAAAGTATTGTTCTTTCTTTTGACCGTTATCTGCGCCCCGCGCCGCTTCCTGTTTGGACCCACCCTGATGTCAGTAGAACAGACACTGCAATGTATTTAAATCAGTATTTGTGTTCTATTGTATCTCTTGTGTTTATTTGCAATAGTTACCGTAGTAACTTCGTGCATTGGCGTTTGAATGATGAATGGCAATGTTTTCTACCGATCATTAACTTACAAGCATAAATGATTTCAAGAAAGCAAATTTTACGAGTTTTTGTGAGAGAGAAAACAATTTCTCTCCGAAAACAATTTCTCTCTCCACGACACAGTGAAATAAGATTCTCATTAACTTGTTCGTGTCGACTTGCGTTCTGCGAGGCTATGCCGTGTGCAGTTCTTAGTATGAAGTAATTTTTCAAACGTCGAAAGTTCTTTGACTACGCGTATACCATAGCTCGTTACACGGTTTCACTTCCCGTCGGACTTAACTGTTTTGATCGCCCTTATTATACTTCGAAAACTATTCCCTTCGTTCTAAATTTTTCTATTAACAATCCTCATTTGAAAATTCAAGTTTTAAGATTTAGAATTTTTTATTGTCTGTACTCTTTCACCGCAAGAATCTGCTTCGTAAATCGATTCATTCTGTCGTAACTTTATAAAATTAATTATCTATAAGAGAAGTTTGGAAACGCGGCGACATGTGTCCTCTTCTCTTCTACACTCCCACCGGTCATGACTCGATGTTGCTCCCCCACAGCACCCGCACTCCTGGCAGACTAGCGCCGACGGCACCTCGCTCATCGGCCACATGATCCTACGGAAGTGCATCCGCGAGCCGCAAGGCTCGGGCGGATCCTCGTCCGGCTCGTCGACAACCTCGTCCATCCTGGGGCTCAAGGTGACGGGGGGCAAGCTGCTGCCCGGCGGCCACATCGGCGCCGTCATCGAGCGCGTCAAGAAGGGCAGCATCGCCGACCTGGAGGGACAGCTCAAACCAGGTATGTGCGAGGGCGTGGCGGGGCGGGGCGGGCGGGGAGAGACGGCGCGGCCAGCTGACTGACACGCCCCTCTGTTGCAGGCGACGAGGTCCTCGAGTGGAACGGGAGGGTGCTGCAGGGGCTGTCGCACCAGGAGGTGTACGACATAATCGCCGAGAGCAAGCAGGAGCCGCAGGTGGAGCTGATGGTGTGCCGCACGGGGCTCAGCGGGGTGCCCGGCGGGGGCCCCGGTGGGGGCGGGGGACCCCCGGGGCCCGGAAGAGGCTCGGCCATGGGCAGGTCACTGCCCGCTACCGCGCACTTCAGGGCGCCACCAGTCCACAAAGGTGCAGCCCCCTCACACAAATACATATACTTTCTTCTTTGGTGTAATTAAAACGTATGTCGGGGTCAAGGGTGCTGTGCTGCACGGACTATCTCACCGCTATGTGGTGCAGTTCGGCAGACGTTTCGGAGTTAATTTTTGCAGTTTAGGTTGTTTTTCCTGCGGAGATCGGGATTAACTTTTATTGCAGTTCAGCCATCGGCCGCGTCCGAGCTGTAGCCCACTGACCCCACTGTACTAGTTGTTGCTTCCCTGTATGTAAGAATCGACTAATTTTGTGTATTGCCTTGCAGGTCGTCTCGTTATTCTCTTTATCTTCTCTCGAATCTCCATCTTATTCTTAGTGCTTCCTTCTTTCTTCACGAACGACCCTAGATCTAGATAGCGTTGCCAAGAGACTGCCTTCTTAAGGGTCATTTGGGCATATACATTTTTATTTTTTTGCAACTTTTACCAATATGTTTTCGTGTACTTTTGACAGAATATGAATCGTCTATATATATGTTGTGTTGTGTATATGCACAGTAGTGACTAGAGACTAGGAAAAAATAATAAGTGCACTGTAGTGTCCTTTAGTGTCTCAGGTTCAGCCGGTTCCTGAATTACGTGTGCTGGAATTTAGAAATGAAATGTTTCGATAGATTCGGCAAAAAAATACATTTTTATACTATTGTAATTTTTTCACCATTTACTTTTATTCCCCTTACCCAGTCTTTTCTTTCTCTATTCTTTTACTCTCTATTCTACGAGCCAAGCTTAAGTTTTCAATCAGGGAGCAACAACTTGTACGATAGACCTTTTTCGCTAGAGCTTGTGGGAAACAATTATCCCAGTAGGCGAAAGGTGTGAGAACGTGGGTCCCATCGGACAGGGCGCGAAATTAAGAGACACGCGACTAAATGACCACAGAGAGGTCGTAGGATAAGTTCGTAAGTTGGGGGGGAAATGGGGGGGTAGTTTTGTGAACGACAAGAAGTGTGTGGTAGTTCGCGCCCCTTTGAAGAGCAGACGAGGTGACGGGTGTGCGCTGGTTGTTGCAGACGTGTACGACGCGCGGAGGGACAACCCCGCCGTGCTGGTCACCTCGCCCGGCTCGCCCGACCTCCACGGCCAGCGCACGGCCCCCCGGCCTCCGCTCAGCAAGGCCAACGCCAACGTGGGAGGGAAGATGCAGGTAAGAACCGGAGCGAGGCCTCGTGTACTATCAGCGCAGCAAGAATTGAACCACTCTGACGTCCATATTGCAAGCGGAATGAGTTCAATTTTTTCTGCGGTGGTAGTAAGCCTTTGTGCTGCGGAACCAATATTGACGCCACATTTCTTGCAGGTGAAGCTGTGGTTCGACACGGGCGCTCTCCAGCTGCAGGTGACCATCGTGTGCGCGGCCGGGCTACTACCGAGAAGAAATGGCGAGCCGCGGAACCCCTACGCCAAGATGTACCTCCTCCCGGATAGAAGGTACGACCATAGGCTCCACAACACTCTGCTCCTAAGCAGTTACCGAAATGTGTTACTTCGTGCACAACGCATTTTAAATGGCCATCTGTAGGTCGAAGTAATTTGCGTCACAAAGCCTAGTGGACCCTAACCCGTAACCCTGCTTTGCAGTGACAACTCGAAGCGGCGGACGCAGACGCTGGCGCAGACTAACGACCCACGTTGGAACCAGACGTTTGTCTACTCGTCCGTCAAGCGCTCGGACCTCAAGCTGCGCGTCGTGGAGATCACCGTCTGGGACTACATGCCGCATCGGACCAACGACTTTCTGGGCGAGGTGCTGGTGGAGCTGAGCGTGGCGGCGCTGGACGCCTCCCCGGAGTGGTTCTACCTGAGCGGGCACGGCGGCGGGGGCGGCAGCCACCACTCCCACCACGCTCTGCACGCCCACCCGCTCTCCCCCACGGACCACCTGAGCCCGCCCGGCCCGCCCAGCACCACGTCGCGGCTCTCGGACTCGGACACGTCCGAGTGCGACCTGGACGACGGGCGGGAGCGGCGCGTGGCGGACGGCGCGTCCATCAGCAGCGTGGGCTCGTCCACCAGCCCGCCGCCGGACCTCAGCCTGGACGGGCTGGGCAGCACGCGCCGCTCGCGCCGGGACATGTCGCCGCAGGGCCGCAAGCGCGCCGCGCACATGGCCCGCGACAAGCCCGTGTCGTACCAGCCGCCGCGGGTGGCCGTGGCGCAGCTGGGGCCGCGGTCGCACTCGGCCGCGCCCGCCGACTCGCCCTCGCTGTCCATGCACTCCCGGAGCAGGTCCAAGTCGCCGCGCAGGTCCTCGGACCACCACGTCGACCCGCGCAGCCTGTCGCCGCCCGACGACCGGTGCGTAACAACGAAGATGGGGCGCGGCGCGGAGGTGCAGAGTTCTCGGACGGGTTGGTCCTAGTGCTGGCGCGCGGCGTACAGAGCCCGAGGTGGGCGAGAACCCCGACGCACGGACTGCCTCGTTTGAGAACTCTGCCCAGGCACCACCCCTCCGCAGGCACCTCAGGCTCCACGCACCGACAGTCAACGCGTAGTGACGACTCTTTTTGTCTTTCCGCAGGGGCGGCATGGGGGTCGGCGGCCACGGCTATATGCCGAGGTTCTCGCGGTCGGCCACGGCCACGCCGACGACATCGCCGAGGCGGCAGCTGCCACAGATCCCGCCCGCCGTGCAGAACACGTTCCGGGAGCGGGATCGGATAGCGAGGGACAGGCTGGACCGAGATCGGTTAGATAGAGACCGGCTGGATAGAGACCGGTTAGACCGAGATCGGCTGGAGGCGGATCGTCTGGACAGGGATCGGATAGACCTAGACCGAGGACCTGCGCTTGTGAGTAGAATAGAAAAGGGAACACGCCCAAGAAGAGCCGCTAAGAGTGGCGTACGCTATCGACCCCCAATGTTATCTAACGGTTCTCCCTTTCGTTTCCAGGACGCGGACGATAGGATACACATGCCCCGGCATTCTATGAGACATCGAGGAAGCCAAAGAGGCCATCAGTCAGGTGAGTGTCAGACGCAGAAGACGCCCCCCGTAGCGGCGGCTCTGGAGATTATCTCCCTCTCCATCCAAGCCATCCCCGTCTGGACGGTCGGCTAACCACTGCTCTTTTGCCCGCAGCCGACTGGTCTCAGCAGTACACGGGGCTCTCAGACAGCGACCTGTCCACGTCCGGCCGGGGCACCACGTCCACGTACCGGATGAACCGGAGGCACCGCTCCCCCGACAAAGACATTGTCGTCGGTGACTTCGGCGATTCTGATATCGAGTCTGTCGTGTCTGTGACCAGCAGTGCCTTCTCCACGCAGTCTGAGCGGCCGAGGGGCTCGCGCGGAATCAGGTACACGCAGCTGTCCACAAGGCACGTATCACCTCGTTATTTAGTAGAGCGACCTGAGGCGGAGTGAGTGATTGGAACATCTTGGCTCTCCCCTTTTCTTTACTACGCCGTACTAACATTCTGTCTCTCTCTGCCTGTCTTCACTTTCTTCTCTTTTCTCACTTCATTTTTCAACTCACTCCATCTTCTCATTTGCAATTTCTTCTTTTGCTTCTCTACTTTTTCCTATTCATCGTGTCACCACCACGAGTAGATTTCACTCGCTGTGTGCTCTCTACCCCTTCCAGTGCTCTTTATTCTCCCGCTCCGCCTCTTAGTCTAAGCGTAGAAATATCATGTCGAACCAGACCTCTCTTCTTCCGACAGTCGTCAACATACGTCATAAACCATTCTTTGCACAATTGTGTGTTATCATAGACATCAATCATGGTAAATAGGAGACTAGTGTGCGTGTAAATAAAAAAGCAATCTAATATAGTTACGCACTTTTTTAAATGGTAAAAGTTCCCCCAACCTTGCATCCATTCGGAATGTGTGTTTTTTTGGGTTTTTTTGTATTTTGTTAGGCCGGGGGGGGGGGGCGGCGCTATGAGCATTTGGCACTTGCAGTTTGTCTTATACCTAGTGGCACACGTTAGCAGCCAACATCGAGAAATCGCGTAGTCTACCGTCTACCCTCTCGTAGCTCTGGCGCGTCACTGTTGGTGTGCCACTTGGTTTCATAGCGCCTTACGGACGCAGGGTAGGCCACCGGCTCAACAGCAGTGTTTTGGTAGTAGGCCGTTTGCCTGCCGCGCAGGGGCCATGTGGCCCCTAATAACTCCTTACGGGGGTAGGGTAGGCCGCTCGCTCAACACCTGCGTGTTGCTAGCTGGTTGCTTGCCTATCGTCCAGGTACCCTGCATGCATTCCCGTTTTTAGCCGCATACTTAGCACCGTGATAACATCGGGACCCCATCTCGGAATCAGTGCATTAGATTTGCGGAGGTGGGATTATTTCTCACGAATCCCGTCTTTCCCCTTCTGTGCTTCTGGCGTCTGGCGTCTGACCGCGCCCCCGCGCGTCTGCTTACAGTGGCAGTGAGTTCGGGGGGAGTTCGGCCGGGACCATGACCAGGGGTGGACGCCAAGGCTCGCAAAGAGGGGCGTTCACCCGCAGCCTGTCCAACACGGACGTGCCGCCAGAGACTGAGGAACGGGACAGCCGGCCGAGCAGCAGCCCCGTCGACCAGATTCAAAGCTACAATGGTCGGTCCTCTCTCTGCATTTCATTCACTATACGCCAGTATCCTGCGTAAATTTTCATGCTTGTCCTGGTCCTGCTGATTTGACTTTACCTCTTGTTTCTTTCCAGACGGCAGTCTCAGCGACACAGCTTTAGGAACTCAACACAACATGGGCGGATCGCGCAGGGTTAAAATGGCTGGTGGTACCACTGGCAAGATGGCGACGAGTATGGGCAAGAAAAGCTCTTCGACGTCACAGCTGTCGGCTACCGGTGAGAGAATCGGAGGTAACGCGACGGCGTAGCTAAGCGCCCTCCTACTTTGCTATAAGTCTGCGCTAGGGAAAGATCATTTTTATCTTTCACAGTCAGTCTTTGGGACCGTCCAGTGACAAGTGATGAAAAGGAACGACGAAAAATGTTGTTCTCTTTTGAAGGTTCCACTTAAATAACATTTAATTTTGACTGACTGTAAAGATAATTTTCATTTCTAGAAATCTTGTTTTGTTTTAAATATTGGAAGAATTAACGTGAACTATCATATTTTGTGTAAGAAACTGAAAAAAAATGAGTTCACATCATATCTAAGAATGATTACTTCAGACGCTTTATAAGTGATTTTTAGGATGTGTTTTAAAAGCGCTTTGCCTTCTAGCATTACCACCACCTTTGTCAGGTGGCTACAACGGGCAGTGCCTCTTTTCTTAGCAAGCTGAGTGCTGCAGCAACCCCTCCCGTCTGCCGCCCTCGTCACAGATCTACCTTTTTTAAAAATGATTCTTGATTTAAATAATTTTTTGTGCTGGTTGAAAAATAGTCCTGATGAAGGATTTCTTAAGGAACTTAAACGTCAACGAGATATTTTTTTCTCGACACGCCTTACTTTTATGTTTTAATATTAATTAAGCAACTATTCTTTACTTCAATTGGGCTACTATTAAAAACAAGGTTTCACATCTCAAGTGAGGATCTTAACCAACTTATTTTGCTTACAGTTTCCTTTGTCAATCTCACGACATTTTTTAAATTTATTTTTTGTAGATACCTCACATAACGGTGGTCTATGGGCTCGGCGGTGGGGTGCTGCGGTGTGACATGTGTTTCATATGTGATAATGACCATCGTCATGTTATTCGCTCCGCGCACAGGCCGAAAACGTAGGTTAGGTTTCAACCGGAAGGGCAAGTCTTCCTTCACCGTGCACCGAAGCGAAGAAGTGCTCCCGGAGGATGTCCGGCTCCTCGTCAGGCAGGCCAGCTCCATGTCCAGCGACGGCGAGGGCTCCGGGGACGGAGACAGCAGGTGGACCTCACAGCCTCCCCCTACCCCCTCCCCTCCCACGATCCCTGGCCTCGCGTCGCTCTGCAGATTTCAAAAGTGTCTGACAACCTTGCGGTACTGTAACCACTTTATGGAACGCATACAAGGTGCCCCGCTGGAGTAAATGCGTAACTTGCTAGCGTACACGGGTGGGCAAAGGTTTGCTTATCGTCTCTAGCATGGCGCTTTATGGCCCCGTGGAAATGGTTAACCCATTCGCTCGTCTCCATGCTGGCTAGTATACGCATTTGCTTCAACGGGGCGCAGCGACCACCCCGTTGAGGGAAAAAACGGCATAATACTTGCGCCGTTTGTACTGCCATTATAACAAGCAGTTACTCTATGTTGTAATAAGGTTAACAATATATGAAATTCATCCAGTTACGACCGTTCGGTACTTTCACAATGGCGTCTGCAGACCGCCGGGGGGACTCAGCTGCTCGTTCACTCTGGTGGAATCTTGATGTCGTATTGTTCGATTCTGATCCACCCCGTGCAAGGCGCCCCACTTTTCCCCCTTCAAACTCCTCGGGCGGCCCCCTGGCCAACCCTCATCCGCACCATCACCATCTAGAGCGTGTCTCGAGTCTTAATCACAAGTCCCCTCGCAAATCAAAGCAAATCTAAATTGCCGTTGATTTTGTAAAAAAAAAAAAATTATTTGCTTGCAATGTTCTTGCCAAATGTTAACGTAATCTATTGTCCTTTTCTTTGTCTTTGCCTTCTATTTCTCTTACGATTCAACTGACGTACGGCCGTCGTTTTGAGAGGGGATCTGTGAAAGGCTCTCACCTTAATGAAACGAGATTCGAGTCCCAATATAACATAGGACTAGAGGGGATGTAAAAGGGGCACGGTGCCCAGCCAGAAATGTATTGTTAAAAATGTCATTAGGTGGCTCAGTTGTTTGTTTGAAATTCAAAAGTCAACGTTGTATTAGCAACATTATTTACAAAATCGCCACCGATTTAACATATATGGTGGTTCACAGACGTTTTCCTTTGTTTTGCTTTTACTGTGTCGCATGAAAGCGTGTGGGCGGGTTGCATTCTCGCACGGGCACATAAGGCAGGCGCCATGGGGAGCGACGTCAAGCAAGCCCGCCCGCACGCCTGTATGCGGTACAGTATGGTCAAAATAAAAGCAAGAGGCCTGTGAACTACTATCGTATATATTCGACAAATCGAACTCGTTCTGCTATTAATATCGATGTCAGATACCTTTGATTAAACTTGTAGCGATATCGACATTCAATTTTGTCTCTACATTTCTGGCTGAGGAGGTTTTTTCCCCGCAAAGCAAAGCACTATTTGTTGCAAGTATCCGTGACGTTGTTGCCGTAGGCTCGTCATCGTGTGGTCTTGTCGGTTTTGCACGACACGACTTTTAGCATGGTTGTCTGCTAGCAAACAGTCGTTACTGACGAGTTTGTAGAAGTATTGCTAGGATTTGTTTTGTGTAAAGAACGCACGGATTATTCATTAGCAGTTTTTCATATATAATGTAAACGTTGGGTGCCTCTCTTGTCCCAGGTGTAACGTAACGATTTCCCAACCAACTCCCAGTCCAGCTCATCCTTTCCCCGGCACTACTTTTCCTGCAGTCTCATCCCCATCATTCTTACATTTCTCTATGGATTTGGAGGTTTGGAGCGCTAGGCCGCTGCTTGCTGCGCTTCAACTAGTGTGTGCCAGTGCGACCAGCCAAACCTGGAAATTCTTGCACATTTCCTCTACTTTCCTGACCCGATGAAGGGTGTCAGGCTGGCAACGAATTTCTAGCGTCGGGCTGGCTGCTGTGCTGTACAGGGTAGGGGGCCCGGCTCGGGCATGGCAGACTGGCAGGCCAGGCTGTGCTGGGCCTCCCGCCCGCCGTTTTGTCTCTGTAAATAACATACCCTGTGGTTATCTGCACTGCCGTCTCTACTGATATTATAATTATTATAACTTTTATGTGTTATTGTTGTTAGTTGCCAAGCGAGTGAGAGGCAAGAGTTTTCTACAAGACCGTTTCATTTTTATTATTTTGCGAGCTATTCCTTGCTACACGCCGATGGGTTTTCCCCCTAACTGGATGCGAAACCAAATCAGCTTGCCGCGTCTTTTTCTTTCATAGTTGAAAGATGCCCATTCGCTTGGCAACTCATTGACGACCCCTTGTACATATTATGACGGCCGCCTAGCGTGAGTCTAGCGTTGTCTTGCTGCATCTCACAAAGTACGTAGGCGCTACTTGTAGTTGGACATTATATATATACCGTTAATCAAGTCGTTAGACCAATTGTAGCATCTAGTATTTCGCACGCTGTGTTGTTTGGGAGAGCTGTATACAACCTGTGCATTAAAGGGACGTGTAACGTCACAAGTCGTTGGGGGGTCGGGTCGGTCCGGGTCGGTCGGACTTGAGTCCTGCAGCGAGGCGGCGCTAGGCGACACGCGCGACGAGCCACCCGTCGCCGTGGGAACCGCATGCTGTAGTCCGTAACGTTGCCGCGGTGACACCCTTGGCGTGTCGCCATGGCGACTCACGACGCGTCCCCATGGCGACGCCATCTTAATTTATGTGACTTCATCTGTTGCTTTGATCGTTTTGATGTTGTGTGATGAATGTTTGTCTTTCTGCTGCCGCTGTACTTGTCTCACTCTCAGCGTGTCGCAGCAAGATTGCCTGGCCCGGGGGGCCGGGGGCCGGCACTCGCACAGGGGGGCACTATAGTGCACAGGCTGGCTCCCGCTGGGGAGGCTGGGCCCCCCTGGGGGCACGCACCGCGCCCCAGTATGTAGACGTAGTGAGCGAGATCACGGGCTCACGATTTGAATTTTCTTTGCCAGAGGGTGGATCTAGAAAACGTAGCTCCCCTAGCAGTACCATCTCGGTCCAGCGGTCCCAGGAGGTGACCCCCCATCAGCCGAACACAGGCAGTCTCAACAGCATTTCTAGTTCCGACGGATCTTCGTGAGTAAAAATTACACACACAAAAAAACCTATCCACTCTCTACAGTATGAACCTGTCGGTCGGCACTTGACGACGGATCGGGCCAAAAAGGAGGGGGGAGGTGAGGGTGCGGGAAGTTTCAGCCTCAGCTGCACACTTCTCTTCTGTGTACTTTCCAATTCTCACCTTCACGCTGTGCATTCCTAAACTTTCTGCTGGCTCTAGCCCCGGCTTGTCAGCAGTTTTTCACGTTATATCGTCTCTCTCTCTCTCTCTCTCTCTCTCTCTCTCTCTCGTCCGTATCTTTTTATTTTTCTCTATCCTCTTCCTGCGCTGTTTTCCTCCTTTTAAAGCAGGCACAGTGCGGGACCGATCCGTTGTTTCTCAAGTGCACGTTTAAATCTTAAACAAAGTTTAAATAAATCTGAAATTTATATCCTTGGACGTATCAAGCTCGACACTGGTGTCCCGTGTGGCAGGGCTGTTGTAATCGAGTGTCCACCAGTACCGTTCGCTTCGCGGGATTTATAAACTGCCGACCGGTGCTACTAACTTACATGTACTAAATAATATTCATCTCCTAAGTTCTGTAAAACAGGCAAAACTTTTTTCGTGGGGCTTTAAAGTTACCATGTGACACCCTCTGTCTTAGTGGTGTCGCAATGGCTAGAACATACCTTCAAGTATGCATGCAGTTTAATTAGCACCTGAATTTACTCCAATCTTTGCATCTATCTTCTCTGCCTTCTATCTGCCACGGGGTGCCCGAGAACAGTCGTACGATAATCCCTGCCCCTCTTTGCTCGAGCGATCGGCATCCAGTCATATTTCACGTCCTCTAAAGAGAATGTTTCGCACCTGATTGCTATCGTTTTGTGTGTGTACTTTTTTCACCCGACCATTTTGTGACCGTTCATTACCTGGGTACAGTCATATCCAAGTGAGGGACGACACGTAATGAAGTGAAGCAGTGTGAGTGGTGCGAAAGTCTAAAATTTGCCAGTTGATCAAGAAAAAGTAAAGACAAACGAGTGTGTGAAGTAGAATTTAAAAGATTCAGAGGCGTTACCATGGTATGCCTACTCAATCGTCAAGAAAGCTGTCCCGCCTTCACATAAACGTAAAATTATCGACTTAGCACAGAACCTTCGTCCGAGCAGTCGTACTATGTTGCACCTTCACGCTCTTTGCTTTTCTAGCTCTGCACGGGGGCCTACTGGCCTTGTCGGTTTTCTGTGATTCTTTCCTCTCCTTATGACCTTTGGCGTCACTGTGATCAGCATAGCGCCCCACTCTGAGCTTTCGTTGTGGTCTGTGTCTCTCGTTGACCGTAGCCAGTTATATTCTTACTCAGAATAAAATATAGAGATGCACCTATTTTTTCAGTTTCAAAACTAGGTATTTTGCGCCATTCATGTGTGTTTTACACCATTTCATTAGTATCAAATTTAGGAAGCCCTCCAAGGACAATTTCTACACTATAAACGTAGAGGTCACATAGCTTGCCAAAATGTTGACATATTCCTTTTTCAATGCAAAATTTTTGCATTATTTTAGAGATTGACAAAACTTTGCCTCTCTTGAAAGAATGTTGAAATTTGACATTCAAAGAGGCAAAAAGGATTGAAAATATTGTTTCTCTCTAAAAGAATGCCGAGATTTGGTATTCATGAAAGAATGCAATAGTTTTGGCAACCAAAACGGCCACGGCGTTCAGAGTGTTTGAGTTGCCGTGCTCATTGGTCAACGTTCTAAATGTGAAAACGATTTAGTTTTTACCGTGTATGTGTGGTATTGTGGTTTGAGACAATTGTGTATATCTTTGCTTCTCTAGTAAGACCTTGCCTCTATGGTTTGACTAGGTTTATTATTTATATAGAATAATTACAGTAATGGGTGTATCGTATATCCCTAATCAATGACGACTTTTATGCAGACTGGCGTATTTCTTGCCCTAGTCTAATTTTGTTAAAGCCGACCTCTTCATGCATGCATTTTTATTTGTACCTCATTTTTATAAAAGTCGTCATGGGAACGTAGACAAGTAGAACGATTTGTTTGAATAGCTGCGCTGATTTAGAGGGGAAACTAGCATCTCGTCTGCTAACGGCATGCCGCGGCTATCGCTTCTACTTTGCTGTAACATTCCTTACCTCACATTTTACATCCTCTCACCTCATTCTCTATCTCTCTGGGAAAGAAAGACCCAAGAATATTTCCTGATGCAAATCCTTTTTAAATCCTCGATCACTAAACAAACTAAAATATTATCAACCGTTGCTATTCCTCATAACACACATCCACTTTGGTGGCAGTATGCTCCAACGGCCCCGGGATCTGACGGCGATTAACACGACCGCTTCGGCCACAGGCTGTTTTAGTAGTGGGGTGAAATGAAAGCACAAAGAGAGATTGCCATACTACGGTGTTGGCCCAAGTGCGAGAGGGGTATCTCTCCCCCCGGCCGTGGTCGGGCACCAGTCAGTCCCGAGGCGCGATGGGCCCTTTTCCCACCGCCGAGCTAACTTGCCCGTCCTTCCTCAGCTGGGCGTCTATGCGGGGTTCCATGGGCCCCGACCCCAGCGGCGCCCTCACCGACTTCATCGAGGGACTCGGCCCTGGCCAGCTCGTGGGGCGCCAGGTGCTTGGAGCGCCTTCCCTCGGGGACATCCAACTCTCCATGTGCTACCAGAAAGGGTACCTGGAGGTGGAGGTGATCCGGGCGCGGGGGCTGCAGGCCAAACCGGGATCCAAGACGCTGCCAGGTGAGCCATTTTACAATATGTGGTTCATCATCAGAAACTCCGCGGAGAACATAAAAACTTAACTTGCATTATCTTTTTCCCCGTTGTAGCACCATACGTAAAAGTGTACCTGGTGAATGGCAAGCGATGTATATCCAAGAATAAGACTCATACGGCGAGAAGAACTTTAGACCCTTTGTATCAACAACAGCTTATTTTTAGAGAAAATTTCGCTGGCTGTGTACTTCAGGTGAGTCTCTCTCTCTCTCTCTCTCTC